TTGTCAGTAACACTTTGTGTCATCACACCACTGCTGATTATTTAAGATACAAAGTTTCAGGCTAGTTAACGCAGATGTTTAGTGAGGAGTATTACAAAGGCAAGAGAGGCTACAGCAGTAAGGAAGCACCCACCTTTATTAAAACTGCCACTTTGAAAAGCCCCTGGTTTTGCCTGGTGTCAAAAGCCCGTGGTACACTCTCCAGGCAGGTTTAAGGAGCGTCAGATCACAGTGCAAACATAACACGTCTGCTCACCAGTCTCCTGGCAGGCACCTGGGGCGTTGGGTTGCTAGAGTTTGTATTTAGCCATCCAGCTGCTGCTGCGGTCCCAGTATTTCCTATACGGGGAGTTAATGTCCTGTGGCTCCCAATGGAGTCCCAGCTGTGCGACTCACACTGCTGAAAGTGCCACTTTTGCTTTCTTTTCTTTTATGCACCTGAATCTCAGAGGATGCCAGATATGACTCCGGAGAAGCAGAGCTTTTGCAAACTCAGGACAGCTTCTAGAAGTTACTTATTTTTGAATCTATTGCAGTATCACTTGGACGCTGTAGAAGACCCCTGCCCCAAAGCATCCACATAAGGAGATCCAGTGAATGAACGTCAAGTGGAAGCAGCCTGCATGACTGACGACCCTAAGCTGGGCTGAAACACGGGCCTGGGGCTTGGCAGGGCTGGGGAGGACAGGGGGCAGGCAGGGACAGGCAGAGCTGTCAGTGTCCCCAGGGCCCGGACATGCAGATCTAAAGGAAGAAACTATTACAATTCAGAATTTAAAAATACACAGCTCTAGGAATGGTGTGAAAATCCAGGGAAAATCATTTCACTTTAAGCCATTGCAACTAAGCAGAAGCTGATGAAAAGATTCAGTAAAAAATTGACAATCAAATTGTCTCCACATCTGAGTTGCAATTGCTTCATGTAAAAACTGATGGAGACCAGACTTCCCTGCCTGATCAGCCTTTGCTACTGAGCCAAGGCCTCTACTGTAATACCGCTTCTTCCTATCTCCAAGCTATTCTTCATTCCTAGGCAGAGACAGCATTGAGTTTTTTAACATTAGTGAAAACAACTTGTTTTTACAAATATTTTTTTATTATTAATGGTAAGGAACTGTCTTATCATTTCTGTTATTATTGCTAATAGCAGAAACAGTGATAAATCTATTTAAACTGTGAGAACGTGAGAACTGGCATATTGTCTCACATTAAAGATTCCTCTAGCTCACAGAAGTCAGTGCTTAGGGAAGAAAGTAAGACTAGGACATGCATTGTACCTTGCAGGTGCCAGAAGTCTAGAGAGGCTTCTCATCAGTTACAGCGATTATTTCTGTGTAGTAGCTTTCAATTTTTTTATATTCCATGAGCCGGTGTAGCAAACTCATCTTTGGCATCCAAAATATCTCATGGCAATGAGTTCCTCAATTTAGCTATGCTCCGTACAAAAAGTGCATTCTTTTGACTGTTTGTAATATAACAGTTTGGAACTTAACAATTTCATTTTACAGCTCTAATTTCTGAATTATGAGAAATGATGACTATCACTCCCTAGTTACCTTATTCGTGCCACTCATATGTTTTATAGACCTGTATGACATCACCCTCCGCAGCTGTCTCTTTTCTACTTTGAAGAATTTAGATGATTCAGTTATTCCTGACACAGATGTCAGTCCTTTATTTCTGCTTCCCTTCTTTGAATCTTCCATATCGTTGTTGTGACAGAGGGGCTGAAAGAGCTCACAGTGTCCAAAGTATAGGTGCACTGTGGATTTGTTTGGTAATATAATGATGCTTTCTGTATAGTTCTCTATTTCTTTTCAAAAATGCCTAATTTTAAATAGTTTATCATCTGCCTTGTTTCTTGTAAGAGAAAAAAAGGCTGTGTTATGGTAGTCTCCTAGAACTCCTTTATGGTGAACACTGGCACAAATAATACGTTATAGTACCATCTTGATGGATGGTGGGATGATGCACTGTCAGACTTAACGATTAGAAGAGTTGTATCCCCCTATTTAATGAGATGCAATCATGTACGTAGATTGACAAGTCTTTCCTGAAAGGATGCCTGCCCCTTGTTGAAAGGCTTCCTTGCCTAATGTTTTAGAAGAGAGAGAGATGTCATTCATGTGGGTGTTTTCTTGCTCCACAGGAGGCCAATTGTTGCCTATCACATCTCACATAACTGCTATTTTGCGTGCACAGGCCCCAGCAGATGTCACATCCGATTTTCACAACTCCAGTCGGCCAGTCAAGACAAACACGGAAACTCCAATATTCCAGGCCTCTCAGGCTGTGTCTGAGTTACCACCAGTCATAACATTCTCCCCTGCAGTATGGAGAAGCCTAATCATTATCAATAACATAAGCACCACATGTGTAGCTAATGTCCTACTGAGCCATGAGGTAAGACTCACATTTTCAAATTCTTACTACTTTAAAGTTTCAGCCAGATGTGGAAAAAGGGCTTTTATTTCCAAACGCTGAAGGCAGAAATGGACTCAGCTTAATATTTTAAAATATTCTTAAAGCTGAAAAAGTACCAATTCAAATTTCTGATCTGGAATTATCTCAGCTTGTGATCACTGCTTTGCAACCTATAATCAAGTGGCTGCCACAAATACCTTCTTAAGACCTTGATTATATGTCATCAGCTGCTCTCAGCTTTGACTGTGGGTGGTTACATTCGTCCCATATGAGGAATGCCAATAAATAAATAAAGTTACTGCAAAAGTATGTCTCACTGCTAAAGATCTTTTTCTTGAAGAACTGTAGAGGTAATGAACTAGTGTCTTCACTGACATTCTGCAGTCGCCTGATAGTTGACAATAATCTCATGTCCCTTTTTTCTCCATAATCAGTAGTTCAGACTGAAATAAATGTCTGAAACTCAATTTTATTCGTAACCAGCTCACCTAGTGTTATTCTAATTCAGCATTTGTTTGGCTTCAAGATATCTGAAGCTAACTGTGACTCAAAAACAGTCCCTGCCTCACTGTGCCTGCAATTTTAGAAAGGTTTGAATGGTTTTCCATGCATAGGTTCATTGCTGTGGCATAACTGATTGCTGGAATGGGCAGGAAAGGGCAGGTGATGTTCTGTGGAAAAGGCAAGAATCCATTTGTCACCAGAAATGAAAATCACAGCTTCCTGCTTGTACCGTGTCCCACATTATCAGAGCAGGGAGCCTGCGGACGCAAGTGCCGCACTTCCAGATACAGGGTCTCAACACACGAAAGACCTTGATGAATCAGGACCTTATAGACTGCAAGCACAGACTGAAAAGCTGATTTGTCCATGAACTTGAACTTTTGATTGTTCCACAGGGACATCAGTATAAATAAGAGTGGTTTAAGCTGTGGTAATGTACCCCAGCTTGTACTGAATAAAGGACTCTCTCTGGAGGGTACTGGGATGCATGTAATATATGGGAACATCTGCCATATCTCAAATGAAGTACCTAAATCATTTTCTACTTTGAATCACAATGGGAGTATAGCCACCTTTAGTCAAGAAAATTGCTTTAAGATTGAATGCCTAGGAAAAGTCCATCAATATATTTTCTTAGTATTATGAGTGACTGAGTGGTTTTCTCAGACAAAATTCAAAACTGTTTAGAGATATCCTTGTAGGTAACGTTCATATATTCAGATTTGATCAGGAAATGAAAATTGCTAGATGCATGGATTTTTAGGCATTGTCAAGATATCATCAGCATACAGGAGGCAGGTTTCATTTTTTCAACAATGTATACTCCTTCCGCATAAGAATTTTACCAAATAGTACCAATGGTTGTCATGGGAAAAGTAAATTAAAAAGGAGATAGGTGACTCCATTATCTGGCCCCACTGGCTAAGTGGAATACAGTAGTCATTCGTTCATTTGTTATTGCTGATAACAACCAAATATTATATAAAAGCTCTCTCCACTGAGAAAATCTGATTTGAAGCTTATCTTTAAATACAGTAAAATAGGGTGGATCATTCAATCATAGCAAATGTACTTTCTGCAATCATGTGCAGAGCCAAAGTAGCATCATCCTTGATCTGAGGAGGATGTGTGACTGAATGATATTTGCAGTGCTGTCTACTTTCATTTCATAAACTGCCCTCTCCCTGGCTTTAAGGGGATATAGGAGTTCATTTCATTTAGAAGTATTCGGAGTTTATGAAAATTATTACAGGATTACAATGCATAGGATTGTATGTATGAGAACACAGAGTGAAAGCCTCCACATCTCTGCTCTAACTTGTCTTTTTGATTGTGAACCGTCTTTTCTTAAGCAATAATTGTTCAGAGGGAGATCTTTATCCCACATTGGCAGCATCCTGCAAAAATCAACTGGAAATCCAGCCAGTTCTCAGGATTTAGGATGGTACCAATTTTTGAACTGCTTAGCTGCCTCAGCCACACTAGTAGTTTTTAGAGCTCATGTCATCATGAACTGATCGGTTCCATCATCATTAAATCAAGTGATAGACAGATGTTGCACTGCAAAATCAGCAGAATCATACTGCCATAACTCTGGAGTGATGACGTGCCAGGGTGTCAGTGATGAATCAGGTTGTATGTTGGTATCATATAGGATGAAGAAGCGCACTGGAATGACTTACAGCTGTCCTCTGAAACTGCCATTTGCAGCAGGTTGCAGTTTTGGTCACTAAGAGGCCTGAGCCTGGAAAGGGGAGAAGACTCAGAGACATTCTGCTCCTTTTCTCACAGCTGTTGGACACTCAATGCATTATTATTCCTAATGTGTTACTCGGATCTTGCATGGATTACTCAGAGGTATACGGGCTAAAACTGTATCAGCTGTGGTTATTGTCATAGTTAATCCCACGGGATTAGATTTTCAAACTAGTGTCACTCTGCCCAAGTTCACTGAAGAAATGAAGAGACACTCATTGATAGAAGCTGAGGAGGAGAAGTATGATGTACTATGTAAATCACATACATATGTGTGTGTGTATGTATATATGTAAAATATATATGTATATCCTAAGCTATTCCTGTGCAACAGGCATGAATGGAGATGAAAGAAATGAAGATTTTTGCAAAATAAAGACAGTATTGACATGTTTTACATTGTACATAATGTTTTTATATCCAGTGAAAAACAGAAGTTGTCTGGACTCCTGAACTTATTAACTGGACATGTATGGACTTTGTCAAACAAAAGCATATTGCGTAGCCCAGAGATAAAAGATTATCTGAAGTTCATCATTCTCAGGGGAAAGTCACAAGGCTGTAGCACATTGCAAAAGCAGAGCACTTGAGAAGCTCTGGCTGGAAAAAGTAACTTACTTCTTAAGCAGTAGCTGAAGAAAGAGAGGTCCTGGAGCAAAACATTCCCAGTGAAGTGAAGATTTTGGGGTACATGACTGAGGGGATAAACACTGTCATCAGTAGAAATACTGCACTGATTTTGTATCACAGACAATATTAAGCACAGTTAAAACCAGCATCTGGGTTGCATCACACAGGAGCATTTCCAGGACTGTCCCCTTAAAGTGATGGAAAAAGTGTAGATAGAATTTCTTCAAATCTCTCTGAAGTGAGAGTGAAATGCAATGGCATTTAAGAGAATAGAGCCAAGTAAGGCAACCGCTTACGTCAGAACTTGAAGAAGGGCAGGACTCGTTATGCCAAAGCTCAGAAAGCATCTTGATAGTAATACCAGATAGCAGACCTTGAGAGCACGGTCTTGTAACCTAACAAGTTCTCATCGCAGAAGGGGACATGGACTCAATGACGATGCCTCATTTCTTGGCTTTTCTTTCTGAGATAGCAGCCTCAATCAAAAAAACTTTGTCTCTTGGCACCGTTGTGTCTTTTGAGGGATGACACCCTGCTAAGCTACGGGCGAATCTAACAGACCCACAGCCAAAACTCTTCAAGGTGGAGTGAAACTGCTGAACATTCATGCCACTGATGGATATTCCCACTGCAAAGTCTCCCTGTTTTTTCTGAATTTCAGAACATGGTCTTCGCTGGGAGAAATGCTTGGAATAAAAATAAATTTTCAATTTAGAAGACATCGCCATCAAAATTCAGTAATTTTTCACCATATTGGGTAATTATATATGTGAACATTTGCAGCAATATGATATTATTTTCTCTAATGCATGAGATGGAACACTAGTTTCGAGGATAAAAAAGCGACATGATTTTTCTAAAAGCAGGCTTGCATATAATAAGATGTGTTCTGCTCTTGATACATGCCTCCCATTAGGATGAAAGGAAGTCATGCATACACGTTTACTGGAAGGATGCCTGTCATACTTGCTGCCTCTGTTAAAAATTACTCCTTTTAAAAGAATTACCTCTTTCTGGAACAAAAACATGTTTTGAAACGAAAAGCCTGGGGACGAAAAGGCCTTGATTGTGCTTTATTGCTGCCATCTTCTGACATTAAGCTTAAACTGCAGGTTTTTTGAAAGGTTGAAATTAGCCCAGGTTTTTTCCTTCCTATCGCTTCCCAATAGGTGTCATTACATCAGTGACAAAATACAACCGGATTACACACAGGTGCCTTTGATTTGCACCAAAGAGAAGCATGGCTGCATGAAGTGTGTTTGAATGTTCCACAGAACCCGAGGTGCAAAAGGTGGTATCTGAATGTCACTATGAATCTTCCTGGTTAGATGCATTCCAGGGGGAGCATGAGGGTACAAAGAAGCAGAAAAGTCTAATGTCCTCATCTGCAATGCTTTTTTTAATCATTATTATCTAAGATGACCTTCTTTGACAAAGGATTAAGCTACTGAACACATTTCTGAAAAAAGCTGGGCAAGTCCAGATAATTAACCACCCTCACAAGTTTTTTCTCTATCAGGAGCATAACTAAATAGTAAAGCCATCTCACTAAACAGAAAATAAATTAAAAGTGGAGAAGATAAAAAGTAGAAAAAGAAAAAGCCACCCTATCACACGGAGGGGGAATTTCCACGGACTGCACACAGTTCTTGGCGTTTCCTATTACTTTTGACTCTATAACGCTCAGATACCATGATAAGTGGTGATATAAAGGCCTAAGAGAAGTATAATTGTTGTGAACCTCATAAGAATAATATTATGTTGAAATATCCTTCACAACTGGCCACTGCAGTGATACAGATAGAGAGTTTCACAGTATCAGTTTCCCATGGCCAGACATTTGGATTCCTTGTGCTATGCAGCTAAGAAGACTGTTGGGCAGAGAATTCAGCAAAAATTTGGGTCAGAGGCTATGACACGTGTTCTAAAATGCCAGACCCAAGGGCTGTTGCTCCTCTCTCACCGCAGAATGCTCATTCCCCTCCTCGAGTCATGCTTGACTTGCACATGCACCTGCCTTGCAGCAAGCTCAGTTAATGCAAAGTTCAGCGCAGTCTGCACCAACAGCTTCCTTTGAATTAATTTGTGCAAGAGTCTTGGAAGAAACAGCAGCATGGGATTAATCTACAACTGTCAACATAGCTAAGCCCAAGGCACATTCAACCATAGCTGTGACTGAAAACCTGTGGAGCAGCTAATCTCATAATAAACTCTAAAATATAAACTTTGCCTTTGTAAAGGTGGATGCAGGTAAGTGGGGGTAATTTTGGTTTCATTTTTTTACATGAATTACTTCCACTTCTCAAAAAATTGATTCTACCTTCGGCAATGGGACAAGGAAAGCACGTCAGATGTCTGGTACGACAGGCTCCCAGAGGCAACCCTCACACTGGTATGGAATGAGACTGTAGTTGTCCACTTTGACTTTCTCTTCAGTTCTGACATCCATGACAAAACCCAGTCTTTTCATTGATATGCTGCTTTTGGGGATCTTGTCGTGTTTATTGGGAGTTTGGCTGGCACATATTCCCGTCACAGAGGATGCTGGTGAATAGCCATCTCATGTGCTGCCAGGCTTGACCAGTGGCTGATGTCTAGCCAGCAGTCCACACTGCTCCCTGGAAACTCCCCGGGAAAGTAATTAAAGTGGGATACTTTGGACCCCTGCTTACTGCAAGCACCAGTTCTGTATTATTTGTCATATCGATCATCCAGGATATTTTAAAGGCTGTTCTGACACTTCTGCTCCAGTGTATTTTTATGATGCTCTTTTATATCCTATTTTTATCATGTCTTCCTTCTGCCTCACCTCTTCTGCCTTTCTCCTCTGATGTACGAAACACTTGATTTCCTTTGTATTCACATTGAACTTCAGTATAAAAAAGGAAGATCTGTAGATAACAAAAATATACAGAGCTGATTATTTCCCACCCTTTGTATGTCATATTATAAACTGCGTGGAGGTGCAGTCTTTTCACACCCCAGTCCTGAATGGAAACTCTGCATTTACAGTTTCATACAATCTTAATTTTAAGAATTTAATTCTTAAAGTTTGCAGGATGAGGGCTTCAATTTGTTGCAGGTACTCCTTGCCTCACCTCCTTTGTTTAACAGAAATCAGTTTTTATTTTCTTTAGTTTCAACATCAGTAAAATCTGTAGCAAAGTAATAACCTCACGCGATTTACTGGTACTTTGGACTGATGCCTGCTTTGTTTTAATCCCAGCTGCTGTTTTATCCTCAGGGATATTGCAGTTCCTAGTAAAGTGCACAGCACAGTCACCAGAATCACATGTGAGCACGGATTTTAATATCTGAATTTGGTCCCTTTGTTTTGTCCCTCATAGCAGAGCTCTACTGGCCCTCCAACTTGACCAATTTGATTACGTTTAAACTTACGCAGATTCATCCTCTGGGTAAAACTTCTTCCCTGATTAGTCTGGACGGGAAGCATCTGTTTTTCCTCTGGTAACGAGAGTTCCTAAAATCAAAGCACAGAGACTGGCATTGGTTATGTTGTATGGCATCAGCTGAAGTCAGTGGAACAGTGGTACAGTGGAATTTGGATTTGGGCAGGCTGGCCCAAAGACATTAGTTCAACCACCCTAAAAATGCAGAAGACATGATAACACACCCACAAACACAGAAATCTCTAGCTGTAGCAGTGCTTGTATCTTAGTGATGGAGACTGTAGCAACACTGTGGTAAGTGTGGCGATGCTAAATGCACAATAAAGCCTGCATTACTAGCTGACAGCTAATGCCAGTGTATCCACAGCACGCTTGTGTACCCTTCTGTTCATCTATGATGTCCACATGAGATCCACCTTCCCACCTTATAGCCACACCGAAATCTGCTGAAATCCGCTCAGCTTTTCTGCATCAGCGGTGGCAATGGGGAGGGGATGCAGCCAGGTCTCGCTTGCCTCTTCCTGCCAGCACCGCACCTTGCAGGACCCTCTGGCACTCCTTTGAGGAAAGGCTGGGGAAAAGTAGAGGTGACGTGTCCTAGAGCCATTGGAGAACAGGGAAGGGGGGAACTGTGGTAGGAATGGATGTCCTGTTCCCCAAGAAGGGTTATAGAGGAAAGAGAAGAGGATCCAGATGCAGATTACTACCTTGTGCTAAAAGTGCCACCATAGGATGATGCTCTCCAGGGACAGGCCTTGGTGCTGCCAAGAGAAGTGGGTGACTGGAGCGAGGGGAACGCCAGCCTTTGGTTCTGGTCCCCGGAGTGAATTGTCCTCCAAACTTCCTTGGATTTCACCTTGGACGAAGGAGCTGGCTTACTCTAGAAATGAACGTGGGAGTAAAATGACATATATACAATGAGAGCAGAGGGCTAAGTCATGGGGCTGGGCGGATGTACCCTGAACCTAGGTGCAGTATGAACACCTGCAGAAGATCTGGTGAGGAGTCAGTGACTGGCAGAGTATGTGACAGCAGGCCCAGAGCGTGCTTACTACATGCTGATCAAATTCCCATCTAGCCTATACGTGCATATTCTGTTTTGTGAACAATGTCTAGCTGCTTCCTGGAAGCTACTCAAGGTTAGCACAGCTGAGATGAGGAAATAGTTCTAGTAGATTTAAGGGGCCCTTAGGATACAAGTTGGACACTTCGGCATCCAACCATGCATCCAGCAACCTTGCATCAGCAGCCCCTCAGCACTGTTCCCGGGGCTCCCTGTGCAGCTTGAAGTGTAAGTCCTTTATTAAATTTATCCTGTCTAACCCCTCATGAACCTTGAATGTCTCTCGATGCCAGTATCCAGCTTTTCCTTTCTGGCCTTGTGGTCACTCCAGATGATCAAGTGAAGAGAGCACTGGACTGCAAGTGCTTCTGCTGGCTCCAACCTGCCCTTTTGTAATCACTTTTCCTCTTTTACCTCTGTAAATAGGCCAGTCACGTCTCTTGTGGCAATTCACAAACCTAAAAATTTGGCTCCTTCCCCTTCAAACCCTCCTGCTCTCAGTCTGCACCCTCTCCCAGACCAGACAAGCCAGCTGCACAAAATTGGCCCACCTAGCTGAAATGTTCTTGAGCTGCAGCTGGTCCCTGGGGCCACGGAGAGAGAAAGAGGTGGCAGAGCTGCTGTGCACCAGGAGCTGTAGTGCTTACAAGCAAACGAGCTAGGCAGTCTATTAGAAGACTAATGCTTAGATGTCCCAATGACATCCTAAGGACACAGACTGCCCTCGGAGAATGCCTTGTGGCCTCACATGCCTGGGGCAAGCATCAGGAGGAAGGTTTTGGAGGGGGCTGAGCAGTGTTTCCCTCCCACCAAAAAAAGCTCAGAGACATAGGGATAAAAAAAGTCTTGCTAACTACAGGCTTGATTGCAAACCAAATATCTTGCTGGGTCTTGGATCTAGGAAACCGCAAGCTATTCTTGACATGCTGCAATGGGGATTCTCCAGGGGAAATGGTTTTAACAGCTGATTGCTCCCAGCAAAAGCAAAGAGGGGGGGGGGTCAGGAGAAGAACCTCCTACTGTGAAATTTCACCTGTTTTACATTTTCCTTAATTGCCAGGTATATTTTGCTGTTGTTCACTCAGATTTACATCCATGTCCTTTGATTCCTTGGAGGCCCAGTCACTTAAAGGCCATTACCTCCTGGTATTTGTTCCCTGCCCTAGTTCATTTGGTCCCCTTTCTGAGCACATCCCCTTTCCCCACAGTGTTGACGCAGTCAGTGAAAAGACACAAGGTCAGCACAGACCTCGATGATGTACAAACCTGGGAAGCAACCAGGAATGCCTGCTCTGCCATGAAAGAGAGTGGTTAGGAGATTTTCAGCATAAAGCTGTCATTTCAATAACACAGAACAATTTCAGAGTAACTTCCAACCAAAGATTTCAAAGCTCTTTTAGTGAGGTAGCATCATGCTCACATGCAGAGTGAGAAAGCCTGGGGGCAAGAAGGCGAGCTGCTTGCACACATTTGGTGAGGCAGAACGGGGCCTCAGGCTCCTCCTCATCTCCTTAAAATGTGAGATTATGCAACTCTGGAATATGCCTGCTGGCTCAAGCACTGTATGCCTGAGACAAACAATTTACGGAAAAAAACATATTTTGTCCTTGCAGGGAGAGTTTTAAAGCAGCAGCTACCATCATAAAAAGAAAATGGGAAGCAAAAATGATTTTGTTTGAGTTACAAGTGAACACACCTTCTCTTCTTTTGTCCAGATTGCTTTTTACAGGTATCTCTGTGGGCTGCCTATTGGCAGGGAGAGCTTTAAGCTTGTCCAACGAGTATAATTATACTGGCCATCTTTGTTCATCTTTCCCCAAGATCCAACATGCCAGATGGTCTCATGTTTTGCTACCTATACTCGACCTTGTTTCCTCCTACAGCCACCCCTGTCTGAATGGAAACATCCAACAAATGGTATCAGCCCATGAGGAACATGGGGAGAATTCCTACCATGCAAACATACAGATACATATAGCCTAAGCGTTTGATTAAATGCCTCCCACAAGTAGGCCAGAGCCAGATGTTGCTGTGATGGTGATGGGGGATGACAGCCCCTCTAGCCCATCTGGACCAGATATTACAGATCTTTAGAGCCCACTGAGGGCTGGATCCAAGAAGGTAGCATTGGTCCGAGAATGCTGCAGCCGCTCCCTGCAATATCCCCTTGTGCGGGACCTGTCTGCCTTGGGCGAGTGCCCCTGTACCTCCGTCACACTCATGACACCTGACGCCAGGCCAGGTGATCTCCTGATCCAAACCGCTCTGACCTAGTTTACACTCTTGCAGACTGTCTTCTGCGTGTATCCAGGACTGCAGGTTGAGCTGATTGACCTTAGCTCCTGTTGAAGCCATCAGGACACAGAAATCAGGTGGATGAGCCCAACCCCACCACATGCTCAGGGGCGCAAAGGCACCGCTAGAGTCTCGGGCCTCTTGTAAAATATGTCAGGAGCTATTTCCTTTCTAAAGTGTGCCCTGAGGAAGAGGTCCGTGCCAGGCAAAAGAGGGCTGTATGAGCTCCGGGCATTGATTTTTCTCCTTGTGCCTGCCAACAACTGGGGGAAGTGAAGGCAGGAAGCCGGGCTCCATCCTTGATGCGATTGGGGTCATGTGGGACATCCAGGCACAGTGTCTTCCCGCAGCCTTGGCAATGCCTTCTTCTCTGCAAGGGTATTAGCCTCAGTGAGGCCCATGAGGTGGTGTCCTGGACTGGGCAAGTGTCACTGAGCCATGTGGAGACTTATTCCTGGAGCCAGAAACTCTATGAGGTACAGAGAGAGACAGGGAAGCCAGGATCAGCCAGCGCCACCCCGGAGCATCTGCTCCCAGGACCCTGACCCTCAACCCTGGTCCAGCTGCTGACCATGACAGCACTTGAGAGTGTGTGTGTGCATGGGTGTGTGTTTGCGTGTGTGGTCTCCTGCAAATAGCAACACATGCCTTTAATTCTCCATAGTATCAGCATTATGTTCATTTGCTAAGTTTTCGTTCTTTAGCATCTTGGGAGGAAGTCATTGAAAAAATAAATGTTGTTACTAACACACTGAGTTTAATCTACGTCTGAAAAATAAAAGCTGTGTGAAGGTAGAATTTTCAGCTCCCATCCCTGCCTTTGCCTGTGCTGTGTAGGACGCCCTCAAGCACCCGTGTGTCAGGCGGGTACGGCTGCTCTCTGCCTGGCAGCACCAGAAATCTGAGAGATCTGCAGTGGGCAGGACAGAGCAAGTGCTATGAGTGATTTGGTCACACCAAAGAAACACCACACTACTACTGATGACATCCTGAGAAAAGCCGAGCGCCTGTAACTCCGTTACAGACATCCATCACCTCTCAGGAGCAGGCGCCACCGCTGCGAAGCCGTGCGTTAAGCAGGCGTGCGTTACGTGACTCATGCACAGAATCACACTGACTTAATCAGACGCTAAGAAAAAAAGAGCCAGCAATTGTGCAAGGTTATTCTCCATTATTTCAGAGCAGCACACCAAGCCCCTGCTCTCTGGCACCTAGGACCGTGCACAGCTCTCCAGTCGGGGAGACAGATGGATTATGTAAATGAGGACAAATCAAATGCAGTGAATCTGCAGAGAGAAATGGATAGAATTTACCCTAGAGCTTTTAGAATTAATGGACCAATGACAATCGTGATGGAAAACTTACCAAGTAAGGTTTCAAACCAAGAAAATACAAAGTATATGGGGGAAACAGCGTGGGACTGCTTGCTTTTAATCTGTTTGCCGGAAAACAGCCCCGGAATAAATAGGTACATAAAATATAATTCATCTTGAAGTTATTGTGATTACTTGAAATCAGCTGCCCCTTCAGAGCACTAAAATATTATTTGGATACTGAGTATCTGATGCCTTGTAGCAACCCGTATTCAGGAATATGCTTATGTGTGTATTTACATTTAAGTGAGAGCAAATCAGTAGAATGTGATTATCTACTGAAATGCTCTTCTAGGCTGCTGCCCTGGATCAATTGTTAGGATTGAAGTGGTAGCACTGCTTATAAGCAGGGGAATGTGGCCTCCATCACATCCTAGGAGGAATAAATATTTATACATAATCTTTGACAGATGAGAGTACTAATACTGTCATTTTATGGATAAAGAAGACAGATATTAAATGACTTCTGAGCATTACATAGCAGAAAAAGCTCTGTAACGAGCACAAAATTTGGGTCTTTAGAGTGGAAATCTCTTTTTTTCCAATTTGGCACCTTGCAGCATTTTACTGGTGTTAAACTAGCTGTCTGAAGAGGTTTAAGATGATCATCAAAGAATTACATTAAACAGTATTTCTATTTCCCCCTCCCCTCATTTTAGATCATATATGCACTTTCAAAGGATGATGGATTCAATCCATAGACCAAGTGTGGATGGTAAACACTGATTTACAGAAAGCTAACAGAGAGAGAGGATGATTTGGTGGCTGGAGGAGTAACCTATGAACTAAGAGACAAGTTTCAATCCCTACTCTGCTGCAATCTCCTGTGCATCCTTGAGCTTATTCTGGCGGCTCTCTGTGCCTCAGTTCCTCTGCTGCAAAATGAGAACACAGTACTCTCAGAGAGGTGCTGAGGATAAATACAATACAGCTTGTGACATTATGATTTCCAACACCAAATATTTTGATGATGGAAGTCAGAAAAACATATCCTTCCTTTCCTGACCGTACCTCCATACCACTGAAAGCCATCTCTTCCCTGGGAATGACCGAGATGGATGGTCAGATAATACAACGACTGATAGGCACCCTATAAAAACTTACTCTGACAAGGAAGCAAGGCATCCTTGGGCCCTGCGGGCAGAGATTCGTTGCTGAAGGGAATCATTCCCAGAGTGGAGATGGCACCTAGGCTGGCAGCACTCAACTTCAAGGAAGTACCTAGCAGTGGAACACAAGAGGATCAGTAGAGAGAAGAGACCATGGGATGCTCATATGTTAGTGAGATTCATTAATTAATTAAAAAAAAAAGTGGGCTTAGAGATAAAAGCTGGGAAAAGTAATCACACTTGATCAGTTTCCCAGAACTACTTGAGATTTTTTTTTTGATGGAACTAAGTACTGAAATACTCACAAACAAACACACACTGCTAAATTAATCTGTAACATAACCTGTGCCCTAATTATCCTCCTTCCTCCTTCCCATCACTCCCGCTACGCATACATTTGTCTCATTTTTAGATGGCAAACTCTGCAGAAAATGGAATATGTATGCGAGGGGAGTTTATAGCTGGGGTGTTTATTTCTTTACTTAATATTTATCTGTTTCACCCATTCTAACTGCCTCTCCTGGCGCTATCAACCTCGCCACAATGACTAACAAGAAGTGAGTCTGGAGCCCTGATGTAGCATGGCAGAAACATAGCCAATTTGCCGTGTCTGTAGCAGAAGGGGAGACCTTTGCTAGGGCTTTATACACAGCTTCAATCCCAACAGAAATAATGGGCAGGAATGTGCAGAAGAGAAAGTGAACGCTAGGGAGCCTCACTACCATAGGCACTAAGAATAGAAATGTGTATTGGAAAGACAAAAATTAAGATAAAAGCTAAGAAGGAAAGAAAAAGAGAATAGGCTTTTCTGGAGGTTAGTGTCTGCATACAAAAATTGCTCCTATCATGGCCAACACACTAGCAGTCCCAGGAAGACGTTTATAGGATTTGCAACTGCTGCTCCAGAGTAATAAAGTATTCTTGAAAGGAGCATTGCTAGCTGATTTGTTTGGTGATATTTCTTCTGTCCCTCTGGCAGTCCCAATTGAGATAAATGAAGGAAAGGCGGTCTCTGTGCTGAGCTTTAGCAACACGGTTTTATTTGTGTGCTTTGAAGAAACTGCAAATCAGGCCGGTCTCTGGGATTTCAAAAAATACTCTCTCTGTTAGTAGTAACCTATCAAGAAAAACAAAAAAAAATTGGCTTTCGCTTTTGCACGTGCTTTTATTTTTATATTTTAAAAAAAAAGGCTTAAGAGGATTGAGGTTACTCCTTTCTATAGCTCTGAAGGAAAATTATATGTTGAAAACTAATTTTAGCTTCCCCTTTTTTTTACTGAAGAATTTGCAGAGGGTCTCAGATGGTGGTTCCCCAGTTCTTAGCTGAAAGGGCAGAAGTCTCCAAACACTTAACAGAAATACATTTTCCCCCAAATATTTGTAGGTGTTGCAATGAAACAGAACAAAAATTCCCAAAGGACATTAATAGTCTTAATGAAAAATCATTACTCCTCTCAGCAGAGCAGTTTTCACATGGATCTACATTACTCCAGTTATCCAATCAGTCTATTAGGAAAAGCCCTGGAGTTATTGTAAAAAGAGAGCAAGAGAAATATTATTGGATAAAGACGAAAAAACCTTTTAGGCATTCACACAGCATAAACAAGGAAAGAGAAGCAAACATAATTCTCTTTTTCCCTTGGCAGGACACCCTTAGATGGAGCTCTAGACATTTACTAGAGATGAGATATGGGGTGAAAATGGGTCAGTGCCTGAGAAGAGAAGAAAAAGAAAAAGCGAATAATTCCCATTATGGTCTGTATTTAGGCCTCTCTTGTCTTCACTTTTACACATTACTGACACAGACGGTCTTGTGGCCTGGTTACAGCCATTGGTGAAACAAGATGTGGACCAGTAGCTGGTGCACTGAGGTTGCTGTGAGTGAAATTCAACAGGATGTTGATCTTGCTGACAAATGGCAAGTGAGACTGAATATTAAATGAAACGTTCATTAAAAAACTCCCAAACCAAACAATAAATGCTCTATACATCTCAGATGAATGTGATTAGAGCATGACAGCTGAAAGGACCACTGCACAAAAGAAACGCTGTAAAATGCTGTGTAGCAATTGACTAACAAAAGTTCACATGCAGAAGGCACAAAAGAAGAGAATTCTGAGGAAATCATGGATTTCAGTGTAAAATCTGTATTCATGCAATTTAACTCTGAGAATTATATCCCAAAACATCAAGTTAAGGCGCTTTACTTGATGGATCCTACTTTCTTGGCTTTCCCCGGCTCTCCTGCGCCAGCAGCCTTGGGCCGTCTTCTGCCTTTGAGTAACGTATGAGCATTGTTTATGTTACCGAAATGCTGGGATGGCCTATAGTCTTTTTTATAATGGAAATCAACAGATAATGGCTAGACTGCCACTATTTCTCCACTGATTTTCTGTTTTTCAGGCAAGTCTACAGCACCTGCGCCCTGGGACAGGGTAGTCTGCACACACAGGTCTGTGCTGGCTGTTCAGTGCTCCAAAGCCAAAGCACCCAGCAGCCTGACATGCAAAAGAAAAGTCCCAGACAAATGCAGCACTTGTCAGAAGCCTACAGAGATGAAAGCATGACAGCTAAAGAAGAGGATGATCTAGGGAATAACTCGACAAAAATGAGCTAAGTGCAGAGAAGAACTTGACACAACATGGACACTGCATAAAATCTGCGCCACCGCAAGCCAAGGAGGGCAAAGGTGGGGAATACAGCCCAGAGAGCTGTATTCTGTCGTGTTTGTGTTACCACTGATACTGAACAAAACCCTGCTGATTCAAGCCAACTCTTCCTGGAGGGAGGTAGCACTTGGGCAGACTTACTAACAGAGGACAGCTAAAAAGTTGTGTCTTCCCACAGCCCAGCAGCCTCCCCTCCTCGTGCTCCCGCCTCATGCTCCCACGGCATATCCCCGGCAAGGCAGCCTGCTGCCTGCAGCATGGCAAGGAGGCTCCCCTCCGGTACGTGCCAAGTCAGGGAGAAGCTGCAGGCCTGCAAGGCAGCTGGGGGGAATGATCATCACCACTGATGGCCCACCACTCAGCCGCCTCTGCAAACCCCTGCAGCGGGGCAGCTCCCACCACGGAGGGGTCAGTGGCAGGCAGTCCAGCGTGGGGTGGGAGCTGATCTGGGGTAGGGGACTAGGGACTTACCTCAGTCCCCTTTGAACACCTGTGTTACCTCTTCCCCTGCTTGGCCTGCGAAGCAGAAGCAGCCAGGCAGCACCTGGGCAGGTGGTTCCATCCACTTCAGACCGTGAGTCTCACACGTCGCGAGGGACAATTCGAGAGCGCCACAAGTCATTCCAGGTTGCTCCTTGACGGCAAGTGGAAGCTATAGGCAGCTGGGTTGATTTTCAAACAATTGAGTGAAGATTCAGCTTGGAAGACTTGACTTCTTCCCAGGCCTGTGTCAATACTGTGAGAAAACAGTAATTCCTGATCTTAAATACAAAAGACACTGTGTGATATTGCTACTGTCATACAAACTGCGGGAGTGGGAATTTAGCCAGCAAGCAGGCAGAACTCCATAATGAAAATGGTTTAAGTAGATACTAATTTTTTCCCAAATTCAAAAATTCTTACTTTCTTCCCACTGTGAAATCTATTATTAATACCCCACCAAGCCTCTTTCTGCAGCCTCTACTCAACAAGCCTTTGAACTTCTTCTTCCCTCCTACTCCCATGAGAGTTTTTCCCTGCATAAGCCCCTTGGAGCTGCATACGGAGCACATCTCTGTGCTTTCGCAACGGTAGAAGAAGGCACCAGCATCGCCAGGCCCCCACTAAGCGCATTCATCGGGGAGCTGACCAGCTTTACAACGCTGGAGACAGCAGCTTGCTTGCAGAAATAGGTCTGCCTGTCCCTGCTGCCCCTCCTGCTGTGCTAGCTGCTGAGGTTCAGCTCCTGGGGTTCAGCTCCTGCTGCCAGCCAGCTCCAGGGGAGCAAGGAAGCACTGCCAAAAAGAGTCACACAGCACCTCCTGCAAGGTTATAGGTACAGTCTGCACTGCGCTCTGCAGATGCTCTTCACCAATTAACCCTTTCAGTGCTTGGAAGTATTGGACACTTCAACCACAAGTCAGAATATCTTCATTTTATGTTAGTGTCTTTCACGGAGAAACCTCAAATTGTTTTACATGAGAGGTGGGGAATTTTATTCTACTTTTGACAAGTAGGAGACAAAATAGCTTGCATGCTGTTCTTCCTCTGTCTGGAGACAGAAGCAGGAGCAGAGCTGCATCTCCTGCACTGGAGGCTGGCGCTGGCAGATTGGCAGGGCAGAGCACGTTTCCTCCGCACGGCAGCAGCAAGTAGCCAGGGGAACTTTGCTGGCTCTGCCAGCAGGAAGGAGGCAGCAAAAGGATGGTTTCAAAGCTGAAAAAATCCGGACAACTAACAAAGGCCCTGGCAAAGCGCGGCAGTGGCAGTGTCACAGGGAGCAGAGCAGACACAATGCAGAGTGCACTAGAAACTCCCACTGTAATCCTCTGGGATTACTCAGGATTTCAAGAATAATCTGAAATTCTCTCCAAAGTGCACTTGAAACACAAAATAGCTTAAAAACAGATGGTAGACACATTGATCCAGGACAAGCAGGAGTTGTGTGGGAGCAGGTATTGTTTATGCTTCCAGAGTAAAGGGATAGCACTCCAAGTAGTTATACTAGACGTGGTTATATCAGGAGCAGCAAAGTCACCTCCCCAGGTTTCAGGGGCTGGGAACTCCAGCGCAGCTCCTGGGCAAAGCACCAGTTCTCTACAGACCACCTCCGGTCAGATTTTTAATGTCAGTAAAGTGTCCTTGTCATACTGTAGGGTCCTATTACCTTTTTTTTTTTTTTGCAGTCTTTACCTTTAAAGCTATTGCTCTTCAACAACTGGCAAACTTGGTGAATGGACTTTTTAGGGAAAGTGACAAAACACATCATTAGTTTGATGAGAATGAGAAAATTCGGTGGCGGGTATCACAGCAGTTCCCTGGGTCTCTGGTCAGGTGCATGGTGTGATGTTTTATTGGGGTGTCTTTACACGATAATATCAATCACTTTTTTGATCTTGGGTGTACAGATTTGGCCTTTTCCAGATGGTATTTTTCAAGGTCTCCCACGTGCTTTGTGGGGGGTTTCCATGGTGTTCAGAAGAACTGAGATCTGCTGCAGAGCTGACTGTAATGTCTCAGGTGACATTTATGATCCCTGACTGGGGATTGCATTACAGGTGATTAATCAGTCGATGAGAGAGAAAAAATTAGACTGAGTCCTACTACGTTAGATGGCTTCTGGCAATTGCCTTACAAAGCGCCACCCACGTGTTGTGAGTTGCTCGGACAGACAGTGCTTCAGCTCCTTTGTAGTAAAAGCAGCGATGAAACCCTTAACTCAAGTTTCTTTGCATCAACCATGACTCCATAGGGAAAACAGGTTTAAACCGAGGCCCAACTGAAGTGTTGGAAAATACCCCTCATCTCGTTGAGCAGCCTTTTCCTGCAGTATCAGTGATGACAGATACTGGTGAGAGCAACCTTTATCCAGAAACAGGGCTCCCTGGTGAGGTACAGCAATGTTTTACAACATTTATAAATGGCACTGATATTAAGGAAAGGAATTATCGGAGGAACTTCCCAAATCAGTGCACTTACTCCTCTCCAGCGCTCACCTACAGAGCTATTGCAGAGCTACCAGGCACTGGGGATGGCTAATAGCTCTCAAAAACCCAGACCTAAGTCAAGCTTAAGCCTGATATTCAGAGGCAGCAAAAGCTGTGCTGGTTCTGTCTCATTTCTGAGACGTGCACCATGTTGTGCAAATGTTGCATCATGCTTAGACATGATTGATTTACTATATTGTTACTAAAATATTATGTCCACGCACTTATTTGCCTAACCCACCTGAGAGGGGCAGGAACAAAGTGAGACATCGGAATAGAAAACTGTAGTGTGTGCAGCCTGGCTGCTTCCTCACGGATGAGTTGGCACCTGACAGTGGCGAAAGCTGACGGGAGAGCGCAGCACTGGAGATTAATTGCTCCTAATGAGCAGCGGCGCAGCCTTCAAAAAAGGACAAACTCGAGATTACCTCTGAAATTACAGCAGTTTAACCCTCTGTGGTGCGAGTCTCCTCCCTGGAAGCCTTGTGCAAGTCACATCCCCATACCTGGAAGGGGCAGAAGAGCAAAGGGCATCTCCCGGCAAAGGGAGAGGCCAAAATCCCAGCTCACTTTCTCTCAGGAGTAATGGCAAGAGCACTATGCAGC